AATGGATAAAGTAGGCAAGTGCGAGAATCGAGGAGCCCGAAGCGGTAAAATGGGGCGCAGCTGTCGCCTCGATCTTCGGAAGTTAATTAATGAAGGGAATCTTTATAACCTTTTTATACATAGATGACGTCATGACGACTTATTGCAATTTCAGAAGATGACGTCATGGCGGTTTACCAAAGTTTACAGGGAGAAGATATCATGGCGGTTTTACGAGGAGCGTAAGAAGATGTTCAATGAATTTTTTCTAAGTATTGAAGATTGACATGAACAGGTTCAAATCAATCTGGGGCCTAATGTTGAGGATGTAACTACTGAGTGTACACCGCCCAGGAGGGGCCGGTTCACGCTCATCTATATTGAAGCGCATGAAGACAAAGAAGATGGTGTTCTACTATTAAAGCTTAGAGGCCCAGAGCCCAAAAGGCAGATTAGGGCCCATAGTTGTAAACCTCCATAGTCATATAACTTGTATTGTAAGTAAGGGAAAGGAAGAGACCGAGCCGGACACTTGTATGAGCCGGCCTCGGGACTCTGTAAACCAGCCGAGCGTCAACCTGTGTATATAAAGGGACGACCCGGCGGCGGTTCAGGGACAAGAAACAACAACTCGAGACTCAGGAAAAGCGTATTCGCTCCCTGGTCATCGAAACCCCAGTAATTCCATCACAACTAGACGTAGGCTTTTACCTTCATCGTAAGGGGCCAAACTAGTATAAAACTCTTGTGTCCCTTGTCCGGTTAAACCCCTTTAAGCTAATCTCGTTGCGATGGCTCCACGACTAAGTCCTTCTGCTAGGACATCTGACGTGTTAATTCCATGACAAAGGCCCTAATTTGGTGCCAATCCCGGTTTCTGCTCCTGCACGCATGTGTAATCCTCCTTATGGGACGCAACATTGACATGTTTTTCTTTTGGAGTTGTCACATGTCTTATTTTCTTGTGTACATAGAGATGAGACTCCGTCGTCCACGGCTAGGGGCAGCATCACTGAAGGCGTGAAGCCTCCTCATGTTCCTCCTCCTACTACTTGTTTGACACGAGAAAAATATCTAAGGACTCCGGGAGTAGGAAAGGGGAGTGTATTTCTCTCTTACGCTGGGAAAGGGAAAAGAAAATGCGGGCGTGCCAGTGTACCGTAGTACACAAAGAAAAAAGGTACGGGAAAACGAATATTTCATTAATCTCATTGGAGAAACAAAATTACAAGATCCCATAAACAAAAAGTGCGCTCCGTGGCCTACTAGCGCGGCCAGCCTGACTGTGGCGATTGCTGTCTCCTGGTTCCCGGGGCCTCGGAAGGCTCCCGGTTAATTACTCCCGCGGGTTGCTCCGCAAGATACCTCCGATTAAGCTATGTGGTCGTCTTCGTTGTCTTCGCTTGGTGTTCTCCATGCATGATGATGATGATGTGTGTGTGGGCGGCGGCAGAGCCTGTGTCCTCGTCGGTACACGCGCCGCATGTAGTGTGGCCTCAGCGGTGGCCACGCCCGCCCTCGTCGGTCTTGGCGGCGTTGGGGTAGTTGGTGTTGTGTAGCATGGGTCACTTGGCTCAGACTTCTCGACGACCGGTTGCTTCATCGGGGTGTTCAAGGGGCTACGCCTTGTGGGAGTAATGATTTTGGGGAGACCGGCGTCACTGCAAAAAAAACTGATGCGTGCTCACATTGGCGTGGCCGAGGTGGTTGGCGCCTCGTCTTGGCTAGACGCCAAGTATTTGGCAGTCCGCCAAGGCAAAGGTGCCGCCTCACGGGGATGTGGAAGGTGGAGTTGTAGAGGTCGCGTCGCCTTGGGCTGGTGATACGCAAAAGAGTGACGTGTACACCGGCGACGCCATGGACCTGTACGTCACGATCCTGTCCGCCACAGTGGGTGCACCTCTTGAAGGAGGGAACAGTCTTGGGCTGCATCATTGTGAGCTCTAGTTCCGCCACGCCGTCTTCTCCGAGAAGCAAGACAGCAGATCTGTGCACCACGATCGAAACACAATGGACATGTGCACTGGAGAGACCTGTTCGCCATCGACTTGTCTCGGGCTACGTTGCTGCAAGCTCCGGTTCCGCCACGGTATCTCCTCTGGGAAGCGTGGCACAAAACCTGTATGCCTATGATCCGCTCGCCATTGACATGTATGTCAGTGTACCGTTCGCCATGCACCTGTTTAGCATGAACCTGTTCGCCCGTGGTCCTTTATGCCGACATGGTAGAACATCGGGGCTAGCACCTGGGCTTCGTCGTTGGACAGCTCCTGGTGCCGGCTAGATGGAGTTGACGAATGGTGTGCGACGGCGGGCTCCAGGTCACCATCTTGAGCGGCGTACCTCCGGCGTGATGAAGTAAACGACGGGCTCCACGATATCGAGCTCCGTGCGGTCGGCCTCCATGGCACCATCTTGAAGACATCAACGGTGGGCGGCGTCGTGGCGTGTTCCAGTCGTCGTCTTCCGCGGCGTCATCGTGGTGAAGTGGGCGTGAGTGATGATGGCGATCTCCGCGCCGCCAACCTCCATGGCACCGGCTTGACGACATCACAGTGAGCGGCGTCGTGGCGCTTCTACAAAATTTCGAATCCCGGAAGATCCGGGAACCGCAGAGTAACCAATCGCGCCGAAGACTTTGCACCATAACACACTCGAAGACTATCAGCAAAACTCACTCGGCGACCTTTGAATTGATCAAGGCGACTGAAACGAAGTTGAAACCCTAGCATAACTCCCTGATTCCGGTGAAATGCCTCCGAAGCATGGAATCGAGTCGGAACCAACTTCAACTCTCTTTTCACTCGGACCTCAATCCATTCGGGGGCTAATGACGATGCCATAAACCTAGGGTAGGGTCATAGGCCTGACCTAGATGCCCTACCCAAGGTCACTACCCTAGAGTCAAGAACATTCAAAGTACAACAAAGGATACCGACTGAAGTCACCTTGGAGTGCAATCCTCTCGACCAGTTATCCCACTCGGATACCCCAATTCTATTCCACCAAGATAAAGTCATTCGACCATACAAGAAACCACTCGGAGTACAGAAGACCTAAAGCCACCCCAGGATGGCAACGGTCAGGCGTTCAGTCCGTAGTCTTAAAGATCATTTACAGCTCTTTATAGCTAGCGTTACCAGTAACGCCCTGTCTTAATGTATATTGAACCCTGTGTAACATGGGATGGCTAGGGTCCTGGCGCATTCTATATAAGCCACCCCCTCCTCTGGCACACGGGTTCGCACCCCCTGTAACACACATACTCATATTCCAGTCGACAGCCTCAGGGCATCGAGACGTAGGGCTTTTACCTCCTTCGAGAGGGGCCTGAACTCGTAAACTCGTGTGTACAACCTCGCCGTAGTTAGGACCTCACCTCCTCATACGTACCCCTACTCTTACTGTCAGACTTAGTACCACGACAGCGTCCGCGAGCTCTCATATTTGAGATGGATACGAGGGTTCGCGGACAGCCCAGACGTATAGGGATGCTATATGAAGGGTCCGGTTGGGTCACGTTTTTTCTTCTCTCTCCTCTCCGGTCACTGATCGGGCACGTTCACGGTCGTATGAGGGATAGTTTGAGTCATACGGCTGTAGATACTCTAAGAACAACAAATCGATGTGCTGGCTCGTAGGTAGCTCGGTTTTACTGTTTTTTTATAATACAACGGCCAAGAAAACACAAACATAGGCATAGGTCTTGCAAGGTAATTATCCACACACAAAAAAGGTGTTGCGTAGTAATTAGTGCAGCAAGGATCGATAAACCCATGCCATCACTTTCATAAACAAAGATCTGTGCCCGGCAGGTCGTCCGTAGAATTAATACATTCACCCTGTAGTATACGGAACCGGAGTTAGCAGCTAGGTTGGAGACAAGTCCTTGCCGGCCATGGATCAAAAGAGTCAGAGCAAGTCTGCATCAAGATGTACACAAAACTCTCGGTGTTTCATTTACTGCATGTATGAAACTGCGACGATGATTCGGTTGTTCTCTAGCCTCAAGTCATCATTAGACTGGTCATAATGGGGAGTATCATCTACTAGTATCATGTATATGATACTAGTGTATGATACTATTTTCCTAATGCATAGTATCATAAGTTAGTATCTTAGATTGTCTTATTAATTTTCATGCATGTCACAAAGTAGTGCATAATTTAATATGATACGATATCATGGTGTGATACCACATCATTTTTTTATTTAATTATGTGTCACATCATCCTAAAAGTTTAGTTGGCATGCATGATACCGCTTATGATACTCCCATTACCACCAGCCTTAGTCGACCTCGACCTTCGCCATCGCTCCTGCCTACTCGAAACACGATAAAGGCTTTTTCATTCGCGTTTCGTTCACAGCACGAATCTCTTCCGTCCGCTCTCGCAGGGATCCATGCATGTGCCATGTAGTACGTACGACCTCCCTAAAGCCCACGCAGACACTGGGATTTCGGTTCTGCTACTAATGCAGCAAGGATCTATATATGTCCATTCTTGCGGCTGTCGTTATTTTTTCTCCTTGTCTATGTTTCAGTTACCCTAGCGAATATTTTACTTGACAGTTGACACTGACACCAGAAACATCGTCGAAACTCACATGCCTGCCGCTGCCGGACACACTCACCAAATCATGAGGACGAGCCAAGAGACCGAAGATGATCCATCAAGCAGCTGAGGGCGTCCTATGGCGCTACGCTTCTTGCCTTTGCACCCAAGTGACTTCTTGAGGCCGAGTCAAGAGACAGAGAGAGGGAGAGAGAGAGAGACTTTCAGACTTTCACTGCATTTCTAGAGAACTTGCTTGCATACAGGAAATTCTGCCCGAGGATGAGGAGGATTACCCAGGAAATTTCGCCGCCGGCCACCATTGCCACTGTTTCACGTCGCTCCCCGCGCGGTGCATACACATCAACATACGTACACAGCGGACAGTATATATACATGATGTAGGAGTACAGTCCTACCGTATCCACGGACGGACAGTAAAGTACACCGAATTAGTAGGGAATCATGCCACCGCGCGCGCCAATGGAGTGGCCGGCAGCAAGGCTCGTGGTCGTCCTCGTCACTTTGCACACGCTTTGGAGCAGCGCCGTTGCCGTTGCCGGTGCATCGCCACCAACGGTGGCGTCCGCGGCGCCGGTGCGGGTCGGCGTGGTGCTGGACCTGACGAGCGACGCGGGGAGGGAGAGGCGCGCCTGTACTTCCATGGCGTTGGACAACTTCCACGCCGCTCACGGCGGCTCCGGTGCCGCGCGGATCGAGCTGCTCGTACGAGACTCGCGCGGTGATCTGACCACGGCCGCACATGCTGGTAAAAGAACATACGTCGAACCTAAATATCCCTCTCTAGTCGTCTTCGCTTCAACATATCTAAACCCTGCATGTACTCGTATCTCGTTACTTGAGCTTAAATTCAAAGATGTTTTTTTCCATACGATCCAAATCTGGACTTAAATTTAACGATGAGTACTGTAGATGACATACAAGTTCATTCAATTCAAGTGAAGAGAGTGGTTTTTCAGCTCCCGGGTGCCTAGGCACCGTCTATGAACAGTAGACCTAGAAAAAAAATTTAAAAAATCTGAAACTTTGCAACATAAAAGATGATCAAACTTTGTAGATGCTTGCAAGTTTTCATGCCAAAAACCATTCGAGAAGCTCTACACACGAAAAATATTTCAGTGCTCGAAGTTTTTAGCACTGAAATCTGAAACTATTTCGTACACCTTTCTCTACATGATATTTTGGCATGAAAACTTGTAAGAACCTACAAAGTTTGACCATCTTTAATGTTGCAAAGTTTCAGTTTTTTTCTATTTTTCTGAATTTACTGTTCACAGAGAGTGCCTAGCACTCGGGAGCTGTCACACCTTTTGAACTCCTAATCCCTTTTTCTCAAAAAAATAAGTTCATTCAGTTAAATACACACACTAAAAATTCTGGGATAAATATGAAAGGATTTCGTTCATATTAATGTTTTAGGGGTGTTACCTTTTTTAGGAAAACGAGGGTTTTTTTGGCGAGACATATTTTGTCTTTTTTTTTTGTTGAGAAAAAATCGGTTTTTTCTTTGAGCAAAAGATTTTGGTTCGTTATGTAAATCCTAAATCGATCGGGTCGGCCAGTGCAATGTTGGCCCACGTAATAGTACCACGACACGGCACACGCCCAAACTCGCTTCTGCCGCCGTAACCCCATCACCGGCGGCGGCCTCAGCAGGCCACCCCCTCAATGTCCAGACACCACTCCCGCCCGGCGATGAGATGCCGAGTCGTTCCTCCGCTTGCCGCCCTGCCACCACTGGCTATGGGCAACGGGTGCACCACCCACGGTCCCTCTGAGGCTCTGACCTCTGTTGACCCAGCGGACCGCCATGGCCTCCATCCTCGCTGCAGCTAGCGGCAAAGCCTCCTTAGCTCTCGCCCACAAGGTACTCTTTCTCGCGACTCCACTCACTGGCTAGTGGGTACAGAGTGGTAGGGCAAAAATTTCTTTCAAGTTATTTTTGTATGTACAGAAGTTAGGAAAGCAGAAAGGATCTGTTATGCAGATGCACAACATACCTCTAGAATATAGTCTGTCACTTTCATGATGCTGTCCCTTACTTTGATGTGAAACTACAACGTATAGTGTAAATCAAAGTTTTAAATACATAGCCTCATTATAGCGGTTTGAGCAGTGTGCTGCTAAATGATCAGCTATAAGATTCATGTACAATTGTCCGATAAGGTTATGAAATAACCAGCTATAGCTAGCTGATTTGGAGGACCGCTGCTATTGGCATAGCCTGCTATTTAAAACAATGGTGTAAATACTTAAATGAATAATGCAAAGATAGCCCTATTTGCTTGCTTAATTGTTCCAAGATCATGCTATTTGCTTGGCTAATTCCCTGTGATTTTGGCAGCCGAGGACCTGATCAAGAATGGGCAAGTGCAAGCCATCATATGGGGCCCTGCGACACTAACCAAAGCAGATCATGTCACACACCTGGGCCGTCGCCGCAACCAAGTCCCGGTTCTCTCCTTCCCCAGCATTTCTCCAACATCATGTGCCTTCTCGCTGGAAGATCCCGTAACAGTTCCTGGGGGCTATGCCAAGTTTGGCTTTACACTTGGAAAGGACAGTATCACCTTTCCTAATCAAGAAACCGATAGAAAATACAAAAGAAAGCTAGGTACAAGCAATAGTTGCAGAGGTAGGTGGCTGAAGATTGCTGTGCCACGGAAAAAAGGTTTTCAAGATTTTGTGAATGTTACTGATCCTAATTCCAAGAAACAACATGTCACTGGCTACAGCATTGATATCTTCGAGGATGCTATGACACATTTACAACCTGGCCCGTGCTATAAATATGTTGCCTTCACGGGTACTTACGATGAGCTAGTAGGCAACGTGGCTTCACGGGTAAGGCTAACTCCTATACCAACTTGCATCTCATCCTTTTTACGAGTATGATATGTTAACACTATAATTACTTCTACCTAAATACCTTTTCATCTCTGCTAATTTTCTGGCGGATAAACAGGTGTATGATGGAGCAGTAAGCGATGTGACCATAACCGCGGAACGAATCACCACCACCGACTTTACAGTGCCATACACACAGTCTGGTGTGTCTATGCTTGTGCTTGCCGTGGATGAACCCTATAGAATCAGTTGGACATTTGTAAAGGCACTAAATGGGGAGCTTTGGCTTGCAAGCATGGTCTTTTTCCTCTATACTGGCTTTGTCGTGTGGATGATTGAACTACCCAGAAATCAGGAGTACCAAGGATCAAGTTTGAGACAGTGTAGCACAGCCCTCTACTTCGTTTTCTCCACTTTGACATTTTCTCATGGTCAGCACTTTAAGCTTAAACTTCCTGACAATATTTGATGCATTATAGTAAGTATTTTAATTTACCACGGTTATGAGATTAAAATCTCTTGGCTATTTCATGCACAGGTCATACTATTAGAAGCCCCTTGTCAAAAATTGTTGTGGTGATATGGTGCTTTGTAGTGCTGATTCTTGTCCAGAGCTACACTGCAAGCTTGTCATCCATTCTGAATACAAAGAGGCTACGTCCTTCGGTGACAGATTTTGAGATGCTCCGGAAGAGTGATGACTTTGTAGGATACCAAGATGAATCATTTGTGCAGTCTTTCTTGCTTAATCATACCATCAATGAAAACAGGTTAAGGAACTACACGACGAAAGAACAATATGCTGAAGCTTTGAAGAATGGATCCAAGAATGGAGGGGTATCGGCTATCGTTGATGAGATCCCCTATTTAACTTATTTCCTCTCTGACAATCAGTACAGAAATGATTTTATGATGCTTGGGTACATATACAGGACTCCTGGATTTGGTTTTGTAAGCTACTCAACCTTAATACCTTGGTGCAGTCATGGTTTGTTCTTGCAGCGCTATCCTGCAGTCTGGATACAAAATTTAGTTGCTAACATCGTATTCTTATCTTCAGGCATTTCAACTAGGTTCTCCGCTAGTGCATAATCTTTCAACTGCTATCCTGAAACTAGCAAGAGAAGATGGGGGCTTACAAATGGAAAAGAAAAGGTTTGGCGCAGCTTCACCTCTTGTGGGTGCTAGCATGGTCCCTGATACGGACTATGTGGCTCTCACTTTGCAAAGCTTTTCCGGTCTCTTTCTCATCACGGGATCCATTTCAACTCTCATGCTGCTGATAAGCATTATGAGGTTGATTCATGCCAGATGCACTGAGTTGAGAAAGGCTGATGTGGAAAGTGTCATCTACAGTGCCACCGACGATGAGTCCCGTCTGTTGCAGAATGGCATAGGTGACAACCCCAGCCCTGGTCTACAACCCTTCCATGTAGATGGCATTGAAAATTCCGGGGGTGTCCATTTAAGCGGCGAGAATGTTGGGGACGTGGAGCCTGACCCAGTGCAGCAGAATGGCATGCATGGTGGCTCTGTCCCTGCAGGACACATTCAGATTGAGATGCGCAATGTCTAAGGTGAAGGGAAGCGCCAGATGCTCATAGGTACTTCTTTCGTTATTGAAGCGATGCGGCATTCCAAACCTTCGACTAGATAGAAGTAGTAAAATAAAAATCTCTCTTTCCTACTCATTTGGAAAAATGAGATAGGTGTCCAGTAAGCCTATTATCTTCAGACAGATACTTATGTTGTTTTTCAAGTACTACTGATGTACTTAGAACTTCTCTAATTCTATTTGTAAATAGATGGTGATTTAGATAGGTACAGTCTTCAACATTTGTAAATAAGATGTATTGTTTGCACTACAGCCGGCGCGTGTTCGAACCTTGGTTCCGACGTGTGTCTCACACTTCCCTCTCTTAATTAAAAAGCCGAAGGGGCTCCTCCCCCTACTGATCTACTTTTTTTATTTGCACTATACAAAGCTGAATCTTTGAATTGGGGAAGTTCATGCTTTCTAGAACGTCGCTTGTAATCCAAACGGAGGCAGTATTACATATGTAGTGTATGACTTTGCATGTGTGCTAAGAATGCTAAGAATTAGCCTGGCCAAGTGCAAGCAGAATGGCATGCATGTTGGCTTTGTGCCTGCAGATTGCGACGGCTATGTCTGAGACGAATTATTAAAGCGATGCTGCATTCCACACCTTCAGTTAGATACATTCAGTGAGTGATGTGCACACTTGTCTCTTCGGATTGGCATTACTTATGTTGCAGGATGTGCTGGTTCCCCAGCTCGTTTTATAGATGTTGACGAATCAGACAAACCATACATGGTCTTGGTGAAGAAAATCTCAATTTTCATTTGGAACATATCAGTACCGAAATTTGTTGAGAGAAAACCTAAGAGTACTTGTGGGGCAAGCTTCAATTGGTTTAGCATAATGATTTAGAGGATTCTATTTCCTGGACTTCGATGACGTATGGGTCTTATTCAGCTCTTTCAGCATACAAAATTCAGTTTCTTGGTAGGATCGGGGGACGCCATCTTTAGCGAGCCTGACACGTCAGGGCCGAGGAGAAGATTAAGTTCTTCACTTGTTTGTTACTTCGAAATCGACTATGGGCGGCTGGTCAGCTTCAGATGAGAGGATCTTAACTTATGCGATCGGCTTATGGAGAGCATTGGCACAATTTCCATGTTAGCCATCCTCAACTTCAGTTCAGTGTGCATATCCTCAACTTCAGTTAAGTATGTTAGAAGTTGGAGAAGTTCATGATTTCTATACTGCCTCCTATAATCTGGATGGAGACGGTATTACATATGCAGTGTATGACTTTATTATGTGCTTCAGCTTACCAGGAGAATACTAAGAATGAGCCTGGCTAAGTGCAGATTGAGATCGTTACTGTCTGAGACGAATCTGCTAGGGAGAAGGGATTCTTCTGTTGCCACTAAAGGGACGCTGCATTCCACACCTTGAATTGGATATATACAGTCGTTTATTTCCTATCTCTCTTGCATAGTAGAGATATACATTCAATGAGTGACGTGCACATGTCTCTTCAGATGGACATTATTTATGTTGCCCGCATGTCAAACAGTGAATGCGGGCAACCAAACACGCCCTAAGTTTTCGGCTGCAGCCCGGGATTTGTTGCATTCTAATGCTTAGGGTTGGAGTTTGATTGAGACTGAACCCATAGGGGCGGCACTATTTCGTTATCAACATCTTTTTTTTACATGGTTCATGGTCATGGTGGGAATTTTGTTGATTCGTAGAATTTCTATGGAAAACATGTAGTACCGAAATACTCGGAATCTTTCTCTATGTGAGAGTGAATCTCACAGAAAATTTAAGAATTCCTCTTCACTTCATTCAAACTTCAAAGTCATAGTCAAAGTCAAAGTAGATTGAATAATCTCCCTCAAAGCTTCCTGTGTCCTTCGTTGCCCGAAAAAAATCGTGTTAAATCAACAAGTTTTTTTTTACCTTCATAGATATTGTTTTCCTGTATAATTGAAAAGATGCAGAAAACGGGAACTGACATGGGGCACTAAATTAATATGTTAGTCAAAAATATAATATAAAATGATATAAAAAGTATTCAAAGTAACAATACAAAACATGAAACAGTAGAAATTTATAAATACGTTTGAGACGTTCGCTTTAGCACATCATAAGAACCCTCTGCAATTTTTTTATCATGGTTGCCATCATTTTGGGCGGTAGATCAAGGGCAAGCATGGCATGTATAGGAATGGCACATAGTACACTATGGATAAGAAGCATACGCCTACTCTTCGGGAGCGATGCTCCTCTCCACGTGGGTAACTTGTTGGCCAGCTGATCGATCAACTAGGCTCTACAATTCCCCGCAAAAGAAAAAAAAACTAGGCTCTACAATTGGGCAGTCGTTGGTTTCCGGATGGTCAATAGTAGACCAAGGTGGTAGGGTACCAAGCGAGCACCGAAGAAGGTGTGTGACGTGAACACACACTCTCCCTCGCTCTCCTCGCTCTCCTCGCTTCTTGCTCTCGCCGTCGCCACCTCGGCGGCGGCCTGCCGCTCCTCCTCTGTGTCTCCCTCGAGCATGGCCACCTCGCCCTCCTCCTTTGTTCTTCCACCTCCCCGCCGCGTCCCTCCCCCCTCGCGAGGTTTGCTACAGGCCCCAGTTGGTGGATCTGGGCCACCCACCTTCATTGCTCATGACGCGGCCGGCCATGATGCCTCCTACCGGGCTGCGTTCCTGTCCACGCCTGCTACCTCGTCTTCAATGCTGGCCAATGGGTATCCGGCTGCTGCTGGCGAGACCATACGCCCTCGACTGCAGTTTGTAATCTCCGTGCCGGCCCATCTTGCCCCCAGGGCCAGGGTGATTGATGAGGGTGGTTGGCAGCTGCTGGGGAAGGGTGGTCGCCCGGCTTCATATCCACGGCCTCCTCCGCGCCCCGAGGATACCATCTCGCGCTTCAAAGCCCTCCTCCTCCGCCAAGCCTGGGGCAAGTGCTTCCGGTGTCTTTAGAAGGGCCACTGCATCGCTAATTGCTGCAACGCCGCCAAGTGTC